CCTCATCTGCACTAGGACTTTTTCTGTAATTTCCCACAACTCTACCACTAATGGTAATACTGTGACATCTCAAATTTACTTAAAGGTGATCACCAGCCATTATTTTAACAACTGCCACCCAAAAGAGGTTAGTTGGCTTCTGTCTGAAATGCTAATAACTGCCTGGAGTCTCGTCTGCTTTTGCCTTGCTTCCTCCTTCCATCGGAATAACTCAGGGGAAGGAATAACTGGAAATTTTAATAGAAAAGTCTGAACTATAAGTACAATCTCTGCCATCCATGTTGTGCTCTTACATCAGGCATGGGGTTATGGTTGGGAATAGGTAGACTATTGCTTCCTAAAGATTTTGTATCTCTTTACTGCACCGCTACTAATAGTATTGTCATTGGTAGTAGTAGTAACAGTATTGCAATGTGTTGTAGGGCATTCACTGAGCTTAGTGTTCTCTAAAGATTCAAAAAGAAATACCCATGCCCTTACGGTCTTCATGGTTTGGACTTACAAAGGACAAGAAATATTTCTTACATCCAATGTGAATATAGTCATCTAAGAAACACATACACTTTATAATACAAAAAAGCATAATTATACTCTAATTACACTGTAGTTACATTTTTAACATAAGATTTGCACTAATCTATATAATGAGGTACTTCGTGGACTGGCCAAAAATAATTACAGTGTAAAACGACATAACGAATATACCTGCATTTAAAAGCACACAGTCAGATTCTCAGCTGAGTTAAATAATTATCTCTCTGATGATATCAGTCTGGTTTCTGTGCATTAAAAAGCAAATCATGGGAGCAATAATATCTCAATTATGTAGTTAACCTTCTGGTTATATTAATTAGTGATGATTAGGCATGGGAAACCATAATTATGTCATGTACATAATATCCCTTTGAATCCAAACTCAAAAGGCAGATGTGAACATCTAACCAGGTCCATTTCTGATGTGCAGAACAAATCTGAAACTCAGTGATTTGACCCTCTATCTCATATCTGAAACACCTCCTGTGGTGATAGCTCCGCTGGTCTCAAACTTGCAGAAGAAACTGCAGTTTGTATTTGTCCCAGAGGAGAAACACAAGGTAGAACTGTCTAAAAAAAAAAAAAAAAGAGAGAAAAAAAAAAGAAAAAAAAAAAAGATAAAAAAAGAGACTAATAAAACCTCTAGGTCCAGTTCAGTATCTAAAGAAGCCCTGCAACTAAAGAAGCACATTTTCTCTAACTCACGGCATTTAGTCATTTGTCTGGAGTATGAACAGCTAAAAATCAGCACCTCTTGCTCCTGTTTGCAGAAGATCTTGGCAGCCAGAGCATTATTTGCACAGGATTTTTCTGAAGAGTTTCTCCACACTGACTCCAAAAAAGCAGTGGTAGACGCTGTACTGAGGAAACTGTTTTTCCTGAGGCAGCTGTCTAAGAACACCATGGCATTAGGAAGAAGGAGTCAGAACTAGCAGGATTTTCCACCACTGTCCTCATGCCTAACTTAAGACTGAAGCTTTTCACCTTCAAGGATAAAGAAGAGAGAAGCCAGTCTGAGCTAACACTCTTCCCCCAGTACAGCAGAGAGATGCTTTATCCCAGCAGACCATTCCCTCACAGCAGGACTACAGTAAGAAATTCATCTGTAGGTCATTCAGTCCTATTTAGAAAAATAGTAGACATTTCACTTTTATATAGGTTTCTGTCACTTACTGAAACCCACAGAAGCTCTATGGTGCAAGAGGAATTATGGATCTACATTTGTGCAAGTCCAGGGTTATTCCCGTCATTCAGATGGCAGCATCTTTCCATCTCTTCAGGAAAAAGGACAAGTGTAGAAGAACTTCACAGAATTTCCATTAAAATTGATACTTTGAAAAGTGAATGTCAGAAGAGACTGTATATTGTACCAAACACACTTTAAATGAACCATTTGCAGATATCAGGTTGAAGTGCTCCAAAGTTAGGAGCTGCCCTATTTAAGGTTGCCTGTGCATTCTGCATAGCATTGCACTTGCAGGCACTTTATAGCTGTTACCGCCTGATTTTGCTTTTATTTTTTAATCTAAGTAACTTAAATTTAAAAGGCTGACTTGCAAATCTGTCATTTGTAATTCTGGGAAACCCCACTTTGCACACATTATCATCTATATGATTATCATTCTTATCTGATGTATTGTGTGCTTTCTGCTGTGCTAGCAGCAAGGGACACTGGTGCAACACGCGCCAGAGTTATGTGTTGACCCCACAGAATTAAAAGTCTCGGACCCTCAGTGGGTCTCTTTTAAGTTGACACATCAATTCATGGTAGACCAGGTTGAACAGAAACGCCTGCTCTGTGAGGAGCCCAGGTCTGTGAGGCCCTGGGTGTATCACAGGCAGAGCAAGGTCTCATTAGCTGGCACTGTCATTAAGGGACTAAAGGCACATGGCACTTGGCAGCACGTAACCCAGTATGACTTTGGTAAGACGTGTTTCATGTCTTTTAGTTCACCAAAATGTAGAACTGTTGCCTAGTATTTACCAACTTCAGCTCCCAGGTATAGCAACTTGTTCTCTAATGATATTTCCAATTCAGCCCAAGATTCCTGAATAAAATTTCTGTAGAAGGATTACTCAAACATTTTCTTTTTCAACCTGAAGTTTGTTGAATATAATGTTATAGAAACAATCCTTTCAAATATCTCACTTCAAGAAAGGGTTTTTTCTCTTTTCTTTTGCTCTTGGCAGCGGCTGTGACAAGAATGACAGCACAAAACACAACAGAATGTTATAAACATTACTTTTCCTCAGACAGCGAACTCCTGGATTGCCACCATCCTAGGCAGGAAACTGAGCCACTCTTCTCTCAGAAACTTCCAGCCTTGTCTCATCCTGGGGCTGCAGGGTATGTATAAATTGAGCACAACGTTACTGCTGTGACGTTCCTGGCCTGTATGGATGCTGATGCTTTTGAGGTCAACCCAAAGATGAGCTTCACCTACAGGCACTGTTTGGGGCTCCTAGGGAGTGACAAATTTGGGTTCTGTCGAGCAAAGAGTATGGGCCACCCATCTCTATAGGTATCTAAAAAGGGACACCAGCAGAGAAATAAACAATTAAGGAAAGGTGGGTTTCATCACTTCAGTGTTTTTCTGCTTTTCCTTCTACTTGCTGCACAAGCAAGACAATTCCATTTGGCCCCACTCTTTGATACACACCTCCTGACACCCAACAGAAAGGTTGCCATAATCTGACAACAAGCATAAGCCTCCCCTTCCCCACTTTCATTCTTTTCTCCATCCAGCCACACAGATCTTTTTTCCCTAAACCTGCACCCCTTGCTCAGGTCAGGATCCATCCCTGTCACAACCTGGCATGTTCTCCGATCCTCCTGCTGGCCTCTTCCCCCTCTCATCACTTTCTTTCCATCAAACCCGCTTACACTGAAGAGTTGTGCACAGCATCCCAAGAGCTGACATGAGTCAAACCATGTTAGGGGCCACTCTAATAGTTTAACAGTGCAGAAGATCGAATTAGACGCTTTGGCATGGATTTATTTATCAGTACTAATGAGGCTGAACCAATCATGCAATTCCTCGGGGTCTTTTGCCTCACTCTTCCATTTCCCTTCTGGAATCTTGACCATCCACTCTGTCCCACTCCTTCCCACCTTGGCCAGCTGCTTCAGAGATGCTGGGTGCAGGAGTGGTGAGGCCATGGCTTGGTCTCATTGGTTAGTGACATGGATACTTTATCAGGAGACAAACAAAATAGGAGGAGGGAGCTGGGTGATGCATACACCTACAGGGCTTTTCTCGAGGGAAAGAGCAAGAAAATGTATTTTTTTGGGGAGCTTGAGGGTTTTTTTTTGTTAAAAAAAATTAGCTTCTCCAAGCCTCGCAGTTTTGGCTATTGTATCTCTTACTGTAGCATAGAAATTGGCCTTGAGAACTAGAAGCATGAATGAAATTTAAGAAATTAACTGTAAAGATGCAGAGTTCTGTCCACAGGTAAGATTTCCTGCCATCAAAAATCCATCACTAATGTTTTGGGGTCTGGGCTGACACTGCTGAGATTTTGCATAGAGTTATTGCTGGGGTTCAGACTCATGATACGGTGAAACTCTGACAAACTTGGATGTGATTGCACCAAACAATGCTGACTCAGCAAGCCATTTTGGGCACGTTTCCCTCCTCCTTCTCAACGTACCTGCCCAGCAAACTCATCAACCAAACAGATGCACTAAAAGTACTTGGAACAGAAATGAGAACAAAAGGAAATGACAACAATTCTGCTAGAAAAGCTGGATTTTATGTTTGTTCTTCATCTGCACCTTCCCCTGCCTGGGTGCAACACAAAGGAAATCCCTGCAGCTGATCTGGGACTTCACAAACCGAGGGATTATGTGCTACAGATACTGACAGGCCCCTTTGCTTACAGCCTGGCAAACACCACAACAGTAATCTCCTCTCTGAGATACAGTCCATCAATCTTATTCTTACACCAAGCCATTCCGCTCTGCCACTCAGACAGAGCTGGAAGAGAAGACCTCCTCAGAAAGGAAGTTAAAATTTTTCTTCCTTGGCACGCTCCTATTTTAACTTACTCTTTCATCTGGCCTCTCATCAAAGACAGGTCAACACGTATCTATTTTCTGTGCTGAGCTGACTAGTTTTCAATAACAATTTCTCCTTCGTTTTGTAACAGAGATCAATAAAACTGCCCCTCTCTCATATTGGCCAAGATTCCAGCAACGTCATTTGCTCTCTTTATTGTTGCTACTGCTTTGTTTTCTTTCCCTTTTTTTTTTTTTTTTTTTTTTTTTTTTTTTTTTTTGGGTTTGTTTTTTTTTTTGGTTTTTTTTTTTTGGTTTTTTTTTTTGGCAAAGCACAGATCAATTTAACAAGATGAAAATGACTTAGACTTTCACTCAAAGTAAAATCTGCACTTTATAACCCAGGATGTAATTTACAATCCTGCCATTAAGCTCTGTTAATCCTATTATTATGAAGATAAATAATTACCCATAGCGAAGAAAGGGATTCCCAACAGAGTAGAATTATATTTTCCATCAGTAATGAAAAATATCCCTGCCGCAGTGACACTGGAAATACAGATAGTGAGTACTCCCAAGAGTCCCAGGAAAGGTTTGCTACGCAGGCAGTCCTTCATGGAGCTCGAGAGGGTAGCAGTCAGGAGAATCAGCATCAGGCTCACCAAAATCTTGCCCCTGGCCAAGAGACTGGTCTGGTGGAAGTCCTTCCAGAGGCTAAAGGACGCTAGTGAGTAGAGCTGCAGATCTTGGTGATCCAGCTGCATCTTGTGCATCAGTTTACAGAATTCACTCTCCCACTTCTCCCCAATGAGGTCCTGGGTGACAGAGCCATACGTTTGGAGGTAGTAAGTGATTTGGATGGCTCTGGCTGATTTGACTCTCTGGTCCTTGCTGTTTGGCACTTCCATGACCCCTCCGAGCTGGTGGCCAATAAAACTGCTCCTTCCATCCTGGGAGAAAAAGTAAAAAAGATGAGCATGTGGTTATCCTGCGTTTGACTCTACCTTCCTTTCACAGACATGCCAAGAGCTCCACTCAAAGGCCACTGCAGTCAACGAGTGGTGCCATTCACTTCAGTGGGCTTTGGGACACATCCCTGTTCCCTGCCACAACTCTGTTTCTCACTCTTTAGAGACTCATTTGCAATTTTGCTGCAGTTCGGGGACTGCTCAGGTACTCATTGCAGTCCCAAGTGTTCTGGGACTGATATGTAGCATGCAAGCTCCTCACCCCACAGAAGATTGCTTTCCCACATTTTAACTCTGACAGACAACAACAAATCTTCAGCACTGAAGTATGAAATGTTTGAGATTAAGATGAATTTCTGGAAGATTTGTGATTTCCTGACACTTTGGAAATGCTTTTAAAAAACTGGAAATCTACAGAAAATGAGGCCCGGTTCCTCAGTGTACAGAAGTAAATGTAGACAGATCCACCAAGTTTAATAGCTACTCTGGCTCTAGAAACATATAATTAAAATCACATTTTTGGAATTGTTTTTTTTGAGATTTCATGGATTTATATCAGTGGTACAGATAAAAGAATTTACCTTACGCTTTGATTTAGTTTTTTATATTTTCAGAATATAAACCTTATTCTGGTCTCACTTATTTCAGTATAAGACAACTTCATGACAATCAGTAAAGGACACATCAAGGTCCACTCAGGATCAGGTCCTGTCTATTTACAAGACCAGGATGTTTTCTTTTTGTAGAGTTATCTGGTCCCATTTAGATGTGGTTTTTTTCTTTTTATTTTTTGTAAGAAAAAATTAGTAAGAAAGGTCCTATAAGGAAGGTCCTTTCTTTTATGCCACTCTTCTAGTTCTCTAGAATAACTGTGATGTGCCCCTTTCAAGACAGGGTAAGCTTGTGTGGATTTAGAAGATCAAAGTCAGTTGCAACCTGAGGAAGAAGACTCAGTAGATTGGATAAGAATGTCCTAGCACAAGTAATGTCTATGATCAAAAAACTCGAAACCCAGGAATTAAATGTCTGTTGCACACCAAATAATGACATTCTGCGCTTTTTTTTCCCCCTGTAAATTGGATTATAAGGTTTCAGATTTCTTTCCTCTTGTATTTAATAAAAATATAAAATTCTCAAGCCAGTTAATGTGTAAAACATCTTGCAGTGGCAAGTTCACATGAGATAATACTCTTTGCCTAGATGCACTATGGGAATGAGCTGACTGACAGCTTGAGTTTGGGAGATGCTCTGCCCTACACACACAGAAGCAGTCATCTGTAAAAGGCCAGAAGCATTTGGAGGAGACATTCTTAACATCTATTACATCCAACATTAACCATTTCTAGAAACACCTGTGCTGCACATGGGTCATTATCTGAAACTGCCACACCTGCTCATTGTAATGATTCCCATCTTAAGGAAAAATCAATGAAGCAAGGAACCAGACTTTATGAAACACTAGTACCTTCCAGCATGTCTGCTTATAGAGTAAATAAATGTCAGAAATTAAGAGACAGTGCTGAAAATGTTTTATATACTCACCTTGTCTTCTCTCTCGTGTGTAAATTTCCCACTGAGAAATTTCTGCCTATGCCTGCTTTCATGGCAGGAGCTCACAATGTTTTTAGTATTTGCCTGCCACAGCACAGGGAACGTGACAAAGTGCTTTTCAGAAGTTCATTTTTTCCCTATTCCCAGTTGTTATTTCCCACTGAAATAACAGCTTTTGGCGAAGTATCCTGGCACGAGCTGACATGAAAGGTGATTTGAAGTCTAAGCCAGCTTCTCAAATCACCTGAAGCCTCATTGCAAATGTCATATAAGCAGAGACAGCTAGCACAGAGGGGCAGCTGGTGCTGTTTGGACTCCAAAAAATCCTCGTCTCTGGCATTTCATGTTAGAATCCTGTTTTGAGTCACTATTTCTATTTTTTTTTTTCCCAAGAAGGGGTCACACCTAACACTCACAAAAGGTACATTTCCAAGCTGGTAATTTAGGTTTGAGCAATGCAGTCCCTGCTCACATCAGATGCAACTTAGCAGTTAAAAATCCCCTTTGGCACTGCTTTGAAATTTGAGGGAGAAATGTCATATTTCCTCAGTATATATGCAGTGTTGACATTCAAATGTTTTCAGCCACTGCAGGATACTTTAGCAGCACAGCTCCAAACTCAGACAATGGACTGTAATTCAGATTTCATTGATTCACTCTGCAACATGCACGGCAAGGTTACAGGAAACTTTGTGATGACCATCTGCCTTCCTCTGCGAAAGGTGCACCGAATGACGGCAACATTTCAAAAGAGGCAACAGAGCAGGCACAAATAAATCATGTTCTGCCGTATCTCCCATGAAACAGAAGATAATGGCTATTTGTTACACTGATGTACAATAGGGCACCCAGCTCATATGTCAGCAAAATAGAGAGTGAGCTTTCAGATGGAATCAAGGAAATCACAGATGTTGAATTGCTTTGAGGTCGTTTTGTCCGTCCCTTTTCTTCCAAAGGCAGATTGCTTCCTATCTACACAAGGGTTTTGCCTTTGCTGCTTTTATAGCATGCAAAAAAAACCCCTGACACCACAGCATTTGGGAAAATGGGGCCCCTTTCTAATACAGCTCAAATGTTGTCTTTGCCAAATGCTCCAAGAGAGATAAAGGTCCTGTTGTGTTAGGCAGGGCTGTCACAGTAATGGTTACAATCTCAGCAAGGAAGACAGAAGAAAGATGGGGAAAAATATTGCCTTTCATCCCATTTTACAGATGGAAACTGAAGTGTGAGAAAATGAAGACCCAGTGCTGTCAACATGACTTTCAGCATCTCCCAGGGGCCTCCAGGCGAGAGACCTAACTACCTCTTGGTGTCTCACAGGCACTTCAGGAGTGCATTCACCATCCCAAGTTCTCTGTTGTCCTCCAGAACCACCTTGGTGAAAGAAGGAGATGTGAAAGGCTAAGCTCCTAAGCTAAGCCAAAGGTCTGGGAAATAAAATGAGGCTGCAGTGACTTGTATAAATGAGGCCTGAAGAGCAGGCAAGTTTTAAATGAGATCCTTCATTCCCTTTAGTTACTCAACAGAAAAAAAAAAAAAGGACTTTCTGCTGTTAATTGGTGCATTCTTCCTAGTATATGCCTACATGACTATTTTTAATTTCATAACAATGGTTTTATTTTTCAGACTACAGATCCCTTATACATTTTACCTACCTATGTTGCTATTCTCTGATATTATACACAAAAAAGCAAACTCAAAAAGTATAATAATAATAATAATAATAATAATAATAATAATAATAATACTTATTGGTTGCGTACCATTTTACACCCATGTGTATCCACCCACAAGATGATAACTGTCTTCAGCAAGATCACTAGCATGGCTGGAGCCTGAATTTCAGATGTGTCTTTCTCTTTCCCTTTTTTTTATAATATCTAATGAAAAACTCACAGGGTCTGTTCTCCCAGAGGACAGAAAGGGCCATTGCCCATTCTGATGGCATCTAATTCTATCCAGATCTGAGCATCTTTAACAATGGCATGCAAAATCACTTTTCTAGGGCATGTGACATTTGATCTTGAACAGGGGCTAAGCAAAAAATCTTTGCTTTGATGGATACTATGACCTTGGTTTTTGTGTACTCCCTTCTCTTTTTCTAGATGCCCCAAAGACATTTGGTACATTTAGACTCTGAAAGGAAGGAGGACAAGAACTAAGGACTTTCAGAGGAGTGAGAGATGACAGATGTGGATGACATCATTCCCCTGAAAATCATGATGGACTCCCCCAGCATGATGGACTTTGCCACCTGCGTTTGTGCAGACCTGGACTTGCACGTGATTGAAAATCCAAACTCCTCTTCTGTTCAGCAGTAAAAATCACTAATGGTGAATGGAGAAACGCATAATAAACCCCTACCATATTTCAGGCTGTAAACTTGTCTGTAAAGGATGCTTGGACACTTAATATCCTAAAAAGGTGTGTAATTGTCAGGGCCCTGCTTGGTTTGCTCCAAAGCTGAGTGCAGAACCTCTCAGGTTAACAAAACCAGCTGCTCTCACTGAGCTGAAGATCTTTTGGTGGTGCTAAGGTAGGCACAGACCCTCTCTGTGTGCAGCCCAGAGGGATACTAGCACTGCTCCCTTACTGATAAATTACCTGGGAGCTTTTTTGTTTCCTTAATAATTTCCGTGTGGCTGCTGCAGCCCCAGCTCCCATCTGGGAGTTCTGTGTGGCCACTCCCACTGTCGCACCCTGGGGTGGAATGTCTTCTCCTCCCTCCTTTGAATGGCACCAGCCTTCACTGACTTCCCTCTCATGCGAAAAACAGAGGATTTAAGGTATTTTTGAAATGCCATGGCTTCTGCCTTCCCAGTGCCCTGCTCAGTGGAGATTAGGGCTGGTGAGAGGTTCAAATGTCATTTCAGATCCATGGCAAGAAGAGGATCCCTTGTACCCTGCTGCCAGATCACTCTCATTTGAGTACATTCACAGGACCTCTGCCAGCAAATTTATCTCTATTTTTTTCTTTAACTGCTACCTCTTATCAATTGGAATGATGGATAGTTATCAAGCAACATTATAGAAATGTTAAGATAAAGCATGCAATCCTGGTTAAACTCTGTTTTATCTTAAAAGCTTAAAAATATTCAACAGAAGTCAACCAGGGATTTCTGATGGAATATGTTGTGTGATAATACGATCAATGCTGTTGTTTCTCTCCATGATAAGAACATTCCTACTCTACCAAACATGGATCATAGAAAGTATAACATAGAGGTTAGGATGAAGTCAGTTGCTTTAGTTCACCTAAAGTTTTCAAGGTAAAAGAAAATTAAAATCTTTCATTTAAGGTTTAAGACATTGGGTTGCTCTGGCCTCCCTTCAGACTCACTGTAAAACTTTGGAGGGAGCTTTTTCTCCCCAACCAAACTGCTTTCTCTGTCCTTGTCCTCAGTATAGTTATTCATTCACCTTATAACACT